AATAAAATACATTAAAACATTTAATTCAAAAAAAGAAACATAAACATTTATATTTTACGATGAGATTTTTGGGCAGCAAATTCTTCAACGACCTCGTTATTATGGCTACCTAATTGATTTAGTTATCTCACATGCTACATTTAAAATCGCCAAATTGTTTAAGCGGTGGTCGTTTTTATTGAAGATCTTAAGTATGATTGCACTGTTTTTCAGAACACTAAATGACCGTTCAACTGCAGAAGTATTAGGAACCGGACAGCATAAATACATACATAACGCAATGTCGCAATATCTATATAATGGTAGACATCTGCTATTTTGTGATTTTTGATGATTTTAGTCAACTCTAAAATATATTTTGTTGATACATTTTCTGGTAAACTTTTTAAGTATCCATGAAAATGAATACATTAATTTATAAATGATCCATCGTCAGGATACTGCAGACTTAGTAATCTGGTAGCTTTTTTCCTTACTTCAGTTGCTGGTAAATCAAACATGTTTGGAAAAAAATCCGAACTTAGTTTTAAAAATATAATCGTATGAGTTTTTATGTTTCCTTAACCCTAAATGTAATGAATCTATTATGACAAAATATATGTGTTTATTTTAAATGATTCTCTAGCTTCAAGTGATGTGTCGCATTGACGTAATCCATCGTATGGTAGGTACTTATTTTTCTTTTCCTATAGCAACCATATTCTTTAATTTCAGATTTTTCCATATACCTATTTTTTCATAGTATGAAAAAGTGTTTCTTAAATCTGCCACGTAATGAATTAAAGATGTRTGTAGGTATATAACAATGGTTTATTTAATTTCAATAACCTATAATTTCTTRCTCGTACTATTAAATATCTCTAAAATATCATTYCAAAATGAAACGAGAATACACATTTCTAAGCTAGGTAGGTATTCATATTTTTTAATAATCCAGTTGATTCACATTTTTACTTGGGATTTTCTATTGGATTTTCAACAAAACTGTTAAACACTTTAAAAGTTTCTGTCCAGTTTTGAGAAGGACTTAAACAAGCTTCGTGTCTAACTGCCAATCGAGTATCGAACAATATTTTTACTGTTTATTCTTAGATTTAGTCTCACAGTCACTCAATATTTCACAACGTTRTGGTAGATGCAGAAAAAAATTGAAAAATTGAGTACAAAGTCCAAGTGTAGAGCAACTAGCACTTAACAGCATATACCCCTATCTACCAAGTTTAATGAATTTCCCATAAAATAATATCCTTATTCTTATGTGTATACCATATATCATATTATCATTTATCACATATAAACTCATCGCTACAACTACAACCTCTATCGTGTTTTATAATTTATTAACAACCAATTTTTATTCCTGAAATTCCGCGTAACGGATTGAGTACTATTAATATAATTAAGTAAGCCCGAATGACGTATTATGTACCTAACACTATTTACATTTTTTCGAATAAACTTCATGCCCGGGCGATTGCCCGCTTTGTTCCACACTAAATACGCCACTGCATAGACTCGTATTAAAACCATTTACAAATTTTCATTTTTGTGAGAAAAAAAAAATTGTTTTTTCATTAAAAACAAAACTATAACAACGACATTTAGTTTGACTTTTGTAGTAGAGAGGAATTAACTATAGTTCCTACAACAAAAAACTACCATCATATTATATAGAAGTCATGCAGGACATTTTCCTGCTCTCAAATATAACTCAATTACTCAAACAAAAGTGACCAAGACATACACTTATGTAAAACAATATTAAAATAAAATGAACTGTAGGTAATTGAACAATTTTTTCTCCTCATATAACATCGAAACTTCAATTTTTATTTACATTTAATTACACATCTRTTTGTACATTACTGTTGCCTGTTGGGCGCAATAAATAGAGTGCATATGCCTCTATAGTAAGAAAATACTTTCAGTATCAATTCCGATTGACGTTTGTTAATATAAACTATATTATAGTTAAATCAAATATGAATAGTCGGATTATGAAAAAAATAACAAGTTAATATTAGGTACCATATAGTTCACAAAAATCTATAATATTTACATAGGTAGTGAAAATAAAAATAAGAATGTAGACAATAAATTATTAAGTATTCTAATGTAAATAATTTATGAGTTGAGAAAAAATGTAACAACAAATCTAATGGCAAGAGAAAAAACAACACATGAACATAATGCAAAATGTTAACATAAAACATTGGTATCATTAGATCTATTAATAATTATAAAAAATAAAAATTAGATTCTTATATTACATAAAATATGGAGTACACATCTCTATTCACCCCTATATATTAGGTATGAAAATAAACTTAATTTTGGGAAAAAATTAAATTGGAAATGTCACAAAATTAAATTACATGTAGTATTTTTTTTTTTTTTTAATTGCAAAGGAACTAGACATTATAGTTATATAAACATACAAAGACTGTAAATAAAATATGATTATTTATCAAATATTAAATGAAAATGTACATACACATACATTATACATAAATAATCGTAGTTTTCACTTAACTATTGACTACTCACTACTAACATGACATTTTCAAATTTTCAATATAAAATATCAAGAAGTCAAACAGAAGATACCAACTAGATACACATTTACACATTTTTTACCAATCATATTTCATTGAAACAAACTTAATCCACAAGATTTGAAAAATTATTTTTGATTTTATACTTTACGGTCATTTAAACATAAGTTTTTTAAATATTCTTACTTGTGATTAAATACAACATGAAAATAAAAACAATACAAATTATTTATTCATTAACTTTTAGCTGACAGCAATTCTAAGGTACTAAATAATCATATTACAGCAAATAGTTAGAGTAGACATTTCATTTTATTTAAAGTTAATTTCAATGAAAAAATGGTAAAATAAAAAATAAAATACAACGCCTCCAGTACTTAATAAAAAGCAATATCATTTTAAGATTTGAACACAATTTTTTTTTATTTAAAATAAATGAATAAATATTTCATATTATCATATCAAACAATTAAGGTTTTCAAAATTTGATAGTATATACAATATTATAATATGTATATTTTAGTGCTATACATAAAATATATTACATAGAATACTTCAAAAAATACATAATATTTAGTATAATATAATTATTACAGACATTTTGTCTTGGAATGGTTATAAATATGTTACAATAAAAAAGAAATACAAGATATATTAAAATCATTACATTATTCGTCTAGAAGCTTATATAATTACAAACAATTATCTGTCTAATATAATTCTTATCAATACTAATTGTTTAAAATCTGGTTATACTCAAGAACAAAACTTTAGTCTCTGAATTAAACATAAAATACACTTAAATAATATTTATAATACACATTAAAATAAAATAAATAATAAACAATAAAATAAACTATGGTTTTGTACGATTTATGTTTTCACTATATACATAATATAAATTAACTTAAATTAATAAATTGGAACTTAATTTCTTGAGTTACTTAGATACAAACAGGATTTATACATTATTTTTGAGTCATTCATTTGTAGTACAATATAATTTTTTTTTTGTAYAAATAAAAAGGCGTGAAGAATCGAAAATCAATAATAAATATTAAAAGAATAGTTATAAATATTTTATGGTTACAACAAGAATTAAGAGGTGGTTTTAGCTTGATAAATTATCTTCTCCAATTAATAGAAAAATGTTTTATAAACAGATTCTATATCCAATATTATGTATAAAAATATAATAAAGGAAAATGTTGAGATAATAATTATTGAAATGTTAGTAAATTTACCAAAACATTAGTTCAAGAAGTCATTATTAAATACATACTTAATATACTTAAAAAAAACAATGCACTTTAGTTTCCAAAAAAAAAATTCACAATACGTTAAAATTATAACGGTTTTAGTGCATATGGAGAATTGTGTGGCAATAATAACTGTTAGTTGAAATGGTAAAATCTTACAAACTATTGATGTATTTTCACATGAGCATCATAATTATATTTGCGCATAAATATTTTTCCACATATGTCACAACTATATGATGCTTTTTTAACATAGTTGTGCACCAACATGTGTAGGTCTAGGTTACTTTTGCTCAAAAAAGACTTGTTACACATTGAACAGGTGAATGGTTTATCCCCTGTATAAGACACATTCATTTCATGTGTTCTTTTGTGGACAACAAGATATGAATTTAATTTAAAAGTTCGCCCACAAACATCACATGAATGCAGAGTTCCGTTTTCATGTCCTGATACATGTTCCTTTAGTTTTGACTTATTTGAAAATTTTTTTGTGCAAATGTGACATGTGTATGATATACGACGTCCAGCATTTTGTTTTTTATGAGCTGCTATGTGGCTAACAATTTGAGTTCGAAGTTTATATACTTTGCCACAAAGTGAACATTCAAAACGACTATCAGTACCACAGTGAATGGCTATGTGTTTTTCTARTCGAGTGGCTTGTTCAAATGTTTTATTACATATGGCACAACGATGTACCTTATGCTCAGTGTGCATTCGCATATGTTGTTTTAATTGTAAAGGTGTTTTCACTTTATATAGGCAAAGCTGACAAACCATCCATTCAGATTCACCATTTGACTGAGGAGTATCTTCATCACAATTAGGTAAACTAGAATCTTTACACTGGTTGTTAGGTGTTTCAGGGCGAGAAGAAGAACTAGAACTAGTACATGAACTACTTGATTCACCATCAGAGTCGGATGATGAAGAAGAAGAAGAACCAGAGTTATTTAAATCATCAGCAGGAGGACTTTCAGCAGTCACATCACCCATCATAACACTGAGAACAATTACAAATAATTTTATATATAATACCCATAAAACTTCAAATACTTATTATTTTATTAATTTTAGAATTTAAATTATGAATGGGAATTAAGTAAATAAAGTATGTATAACAATCCTCATATTTTATAAAAATTTAAATTTGTGTACATTTCTATTTACACTATTTACAGATAGTAAATACATTTTCTCAAATTTTTTGTTATCTCGAAATACATTTTTAATCCTCTTGAAACTACCATTAAATTGAATAGCATTTTGCTCTCAATAACTTGATATAAATAATTGTTTTTGTTATCTTGAGAAAATAATATCATTAAATGAACAATTTTACTTGAAAATGCAAACAAAATTCCAGCGAGAATTAAGATAAACAAAAAATGAGGAGGAAGTCACTACAATTATAATTTGACAAACTAAAAATGCTTTAAAAAAATTAAGAAATTTAGCTGGGACTAGTGGTTAGGTTATTGTGTCATGACATTTTGTTTTACATTATCCAATTTAAAATAAATAAATATTAAACAAACTAATGAAAGATTTAAAAAAAATGTATTTATTCATTGTTGTAGTCCATTAATATGCACAAGTATTAGTATTTTAAGCGTTAAAATTGATTACTAATTTTTAAATTTTTATAAAACTCTATATCTCAAACTTTTTCTTGCTTTCCTTGAGATACTACATGAAGAAAGTTTATTCTTACATATAAATAAAAATGGAAATCATTACACTATTTTATACAATTTAATATATAACTACATCTTAAATATGGTAGTAACTAATAGGTCTTATATAATCATCTCGGTACTTTCCTGTTATGTGAGACTACCTTATTTTTTGACAAAATCACAATCCTGTTATCTAAGACTACCAAAATGGTACTTTCCTGTTATATGAGACTATGACTATTTTTGCAACTACCACCCAAGACTACCTCTGTTATTGCGACTATCACAATTAGCTGAATGATATCTATAGGCTGCGTTTTAACGTCACAAATACATTATATAAATATAAAATARTGAGTTTTTTTTATTGAAATTAATTAATTTAATAATTCAATTTATTAATTTGTATGTATGTCCATCATTATTTACTATTTTATTTGTGGATTTATTATTTTTACATTTAATATTTAATATTATATAATATCATTTTACCATTTTTGATCGTGTTTGGTGAAAACATTAATATTATTTCTTTTTTTTTATTTATATTACATAATTTGAATATATGGCCATAATTTTTAATTATTTTATTTTTGTATTTATAATTTTTACATTTACGCCAAGTCTGACTAATCTGGCTATAGCACCTCTGGTGTGCGCCATGAAAAATATATTACAAATGAATTTGATATTTTCTTTTTCTTTATATACATAAATACAATTCGAATGTGGCCATCTCCGCAATACCTACAGATTAAAAAAAAATTAATTAAGATYGCCCCCGCATGTAGGACATTCTCTTAAAAAAAATAAAAATAAGGTAGTCTTAGATAACAGGATTGTGATGTTTCGCAAAAAAACAGCGGTAGTCGCGATAACGGAGGTAGTCTTGGGTGGTAGTCGCGATAATAGCCGTAGTCTGGTATAACAGGAAAGTACCATCATCTCTACATAACTATTGTAATGTAATTTCTCATTGGATTTGAATATTCAATGTAAAAATTTGATCCTCATTTTTAATAACGCCTTAAAGGTAGCACATAAACAAATCTAAGCCTTCAGTTAAATTTCTAATGTACAACAGTTGCTTTGAAGAATTCTCAGTAGGTAGAATTCTAAGTTTGTTTTATTTTAGAATGTAAAGTTTAATTAACTTCAACAATTTCATTGGTATGCTAAAATACATTTTCTGAGAAGTTATAATAGGTAAATTAGTATAATACTTGGAGTATTATAGGAAATGATTTTAAATAAATATATAATTTCAATAAATGTAATAACTTTAAGTTTGTAAACATCAATACAATATTTTTTATATAAAAATAAAGATACTAAGTGCTTAATATTTAAGGAAAGTCCAGTGGAATGATAAGGAAATGATCTTACTGATTTTAGTTTTTCATCACAATCATGAATTACATTGTAGCAAACATTTCCCTGACATATTTATGGATAGAGATGGCTTATAACAAAGTTAAAACAAGGTTATTATAAGAATCTATAAGATTTATAATATTTAATTAGATTAACTTACTTCACAGCTCAAATATGTATTGGTAACTGATTTATTTCAATACGTGTAAAAATTAACTAAATTCTTACAATTATTAATTTATATTACGATACTGGCATAGTAAACAAAGCATTAATTGCGTTTGGAATATATTTAATACAATATACAATTATTATTATTATTTGTTATAACTTATAAGTAAGTTGAATAAAATAAAAATATATATAATATTGTTGTTGATATGGGCGAGCCGTCAAAGTTGGGAACGTATCCGTTTCGTTTGTTTATCTCCAAACGATCGGTGGTGTGATAAACATGGTTAGGCGCGGGTGGATAAAATATGTGTGAATGATAAATCATAGAACAAAAATCAACAGGATTTTTAAATCCGTCATAGATTCGTCAATCTGGTCAGCCCATCATTTGAATTTGAGCAAMAACAATATTTTATATTTTAAATAAACACTTTTTACTCGTATAAAATATATTATCAGCTTTGCATTTTTGCAACATGACCCTCCCCTTTTAACTATTATATTCGATTTCGATACTCCATATTCGTGCACCTAATTGAACAATGATAGTTTATCCTCAAAAATATTGATACATGAAACATGATCGATCTGCCTACACTAATATTATGGTATATTATTTATTATTATTTTCAATTTTGAGTACATTATAATATACAATAGTCAATACTCAATATTGAATATTATATAATAATTATATATAAATATATGTTATATAATATTATATCGTGATAAACGCAGAACTTGTTTAGTAAAGCTGTAAGTTGATGTTGGGTGTATGTGTGCTTTGATGTTTGTTACTCACTTCAGACAAGTGCTCGCCGCCCACGACGCCGAACGCCACAGGCAGTAGGAAGTAGGAACTATAGGAAGCGCAGATCAGCACGACCGCGTATCACAACAGAGTATTATCAGAATTATGGAGACAGCGGAACACCAGTTCCGATGAAAGTAAGATCCGTTTTCTCGTACATTTACGGTCGTTGTCGGCCGMRGTGATAAGTGATAACAGTCAGCCACATGCCCACATCCTGTTTTCCGCTAATACGCTACGCTTTTCTGTGAGGTATTCGGTTTACAAATCGTTTTCTGCAAACCTTATATGGACTGCCGTGAGCAAATCGCAGCCAGTTTTTTGAGAAAACGATTCCTCAGTGCCATCTCAAAACTCGAAGGTAAGTACATTTTTATTATTATCCATTTAGTTCAATACGTTAACAGTAGTTGTTATGATATTATTATAATAAAAACAAAAAAAATTAAATCATGTTTCATAGTAGTTAAATTATTATAGAATTAGACATTATTCCTTGTAGACTATAGTAGATAATTACATAAAATGACAGAATTTTTCTACTGGTTTGTTATATCTATCTATTGCATTTTAAATTATTCWATGCTGCTAAAAGTATATTTCAATAGTAGGTATTTAATATGCATTTAGTGAAAGTTTTAAATCTTCATATCTAATTCTTTGGAGCTTAGAGTATTCCGTTTAAAAAAATTCTTGATTACAAAAGACTCAACAGTCAATTCAACTTCTGTTGTAATTAATATAAAATTCTATATTTATTCTTATACCCAAATAAAATTATTAATGTTATATTTACATGATATCTATTGACATATCTAGGCTAATATGTATGTGATCTAGCTATGATTATTTAACAACTGCACATTTTCTTATAAATGTACTTTTTTTTATTTATATAATTATATATTAAACCTAGGTATATTGTTAATTCATGAATATTTAAATTAGGACAAATTAATTATACAATGTGATGTTTATTAGAGCTCTCTTTAGGTATAAAAATTTGTAATGTTGAGTTAAAAAATACCTATTAGATAATACATTTATTTATTTATTTTTTTATTAAGATTTACGGATACAGAGCTCATATATTATATACATTAACAACACTAAATTTACAATGTACTAGGATTTTTTGTTTATTAGATTTTAGTAATGCTATTACAGCTTGACAATTATT